AACATTCAAACAACTTGTTAAGTAAGTCACTGGATATTATAAATAGGCAACATACATAATTTCTCTATATGAATTAATCCATTAAATATTTTGATAATATTAGAGAATTGACTTGGGCGTCAGAGGACCTCGGCTACGGTTGGAAGTGCTACGGTTGGGAGTGCTTTGTCTTGCAGATGGCGATCACATAATGACGCTGATCATCTTCTTTATTAAATTTCTTTATCATCAAATACGATGTTTATTTTTAGGTCCGTACAAAACTCTTGTATAATTTCTTCTTCAGTTAGCATGAAGAAAAGTTGATTTTGATGCCATTATTATGTACGAAGATCAGAGGGCAAAAATATCAAACCTAAGGTGTCTGAACAGAAGGGTTAGCAGAGGTAACAGATCCAGTAAAAGTGTTCGTATAAAAAATTTGGAGTTATTTATAAAAAATGGAAGGAATAGGAAGCAGCCATTACCGGACCCGCCTTGCGTACCAGAGGTCAAGGACACCAGCGGCCAGTGGATAAATGCGTAGTTACCGTAGTCGTGCACCTTTTAAGACCCAGTATGTTCGCAGACGGTACGTTCAGAATATTCCCCGATTTATTAAGAAGACTAAGAGGGGAGTAAGGAAATTACAGCTATACGATGAACAATTAAGGGACGTTAAGTTTGAGGCGTGGCAAGATTACTTAATGGTATTGAGTTGGGTAATAAGAGATCTGACCGTCAATCAGACAAGATCGTGGTTAAGGGTGTCAAATTCATTGGTAATGTTCAATTGGGACAGGATGCTAAGAACGAAGCTGTGGTCCACCACGTGTTGTTTTTTGTCATCAGTGATAATAGTCCGTCAGACTCCGTCCCTACACCTGACAAGATATTTATTGGAGTTGGCGAGCGTAATTTTGAGACCTGGATTGTTGATCCTAACTTACACCGGTGTGAATGTTATTTGTCGAGGCTTTATATAGGAGGAGGTCACACCAGCTTGGGGGGGGGCGCTATATATAATATTACTAGCGCCCCCTGTTGAAATTGTACCCGATAGGCAATTTCATCCGTCCATTAACCAGAACATTAAAAATAAAAATACAGCAAATTACAATTCTAAATAGTTTTAAAGTACATTTGACTCCTTAAAGTAATTTTGCATTCCTTTCCACTAACAGTAGCAGCCACTAAATATATGGCACCCTTTTGAATGCTTCCAACATTTCCCAACAGCGTATCTTTGTAGTCCGTCCAAACATCAACTGGGAAGAACCGGTCTACAACTTCTATCCCGTGACGAACGTACTCTTTGTCCTTGCCACCAACGAGCTTGAATCTCATTTTCTTTAGCATCCGAAAACGGTCAGACTGGTCAGGATCAACAATCCAGGTCTCAGGATTACCCTCGCCAACTCCAATAAATATCTTGTCAGGTGTAGGGACGGATAATGTATTATTAACAAGCTCTGTGAAATCATATAGAATGAAGGATCAAATTATCTACCTATAAATGCAAAGTATTTGACCACCTTCACAAGGCTTCTTAGTACTGTTATCATTGTTTAACTATATATGTCACAAACCCTTACAATGTGGATTTTTGTATCTAACCATGACCCAAAAAAAATGACCTAGTACTTTAACTATATATGTAATAAACCCGTACAATGTGGATTTTTGTAGTTGTTTGTCGTTAATTGAACAATAACCATTCCCATAATAGACTAACTCGCATTGACAATCTACTGGGAAAATAAACCATGCCTGCAAACTGTCATTACCGTCTAACCTCCGATCATAAACATTTACTCTGACCAACCCACTAGCATTGGGTGCGCAAAGGGGAGAATATTTTATCACCCTAAACCAACCATTTGCTTTTCTTATATACCCCTCTTCTCCTCCTTTCTACGAACACTCAATTTCATTTGTCTCTCATTTTTTTCCTTTTTCCCTACTTTCAACTCTCTCTTCATTTGTGATGTAAATTTTAAGTTTAGACATAGGAATATTTAAATTGAGAGTTAGTAATTTTACAAGAGATCAGAATTATTTTTGGAGATCCATGGAGCAATTTCGGATTTATGGTGATGAAATTAATTATTTTGAGATAAATTCGGGTTGTATACAATATGCTCTATTTAAATCTCTTTGCAAAGAGTTCTCTATTTTTAATTATCCTCAATTTGTAATCTACTTGATTATTGTGGTTATTAATAGATTTTGTAAAATCATCTCATAGTCGAATCGTTGATATTCTGATCATTTGGTAAAGTTTCCTACAAATATTTTTGTGTTAAAATGGTGATTTATCTGACTGAATGACATGGAAATACTCCGTACATGGATCGAGTGAATCTTATTAATTGTTTACACCAATATGCCCGGATAAGCGTGGAGCTTGGGTGAGGTGGGTTAATAAATGAATCTATTCACTGGTCATGTACTGAGTATGACCGGGTATTTGGTCCAGATAAATTATAGTTGATTTGTTGTGCAATTTAATAAATTGCTTGATTATCGTATCGTTGATTTAATGTCATAAATTGTTGGATTCCTGTTAATTTATTCTGTATCCGAGCCTTGTATTCCTGTCGTATTGTATACTTCCTGAATTAATTTATTTTTCAGGTGCGGAGCAGATTTTAGTGGAGCTCAAAATTGAGATTAAAAAGATTTATTAATATAAAGATTTGGGACCCACCACTGTAATTATTAAATTTGGAGATAGATGTAACATTGTTTATTTTGGAGATAATTGTGCTATAGAATATTTGGAGGATATTATATCATTTGGAGACAATTTTGTAGTTATTATTTTTGGGAGCAAAACTTGTAACTTTTTTTTTAGGCTATTTTAGTGTGTTTAACGACCCGGGAGTGGGGCGTTACAAAATGGTATCAGAGCGTAGGGATTAGGTCTTACATGGGATCTGTTGGGTGGTGAGTATTATGAGAAAAAAAAAAGGGGTTGATATTTAAGGTAAAAAAAAAAATCATTTTTATATCAGAGTGTGTAGCGGAACCGTGTTATTTGGAGTTTTAGTTGAGATTAAATTTGGAGCATTACGGATTGGAATTTCGAGGACGAAATTATTTTAAGGGGGATAGATTGTGACACCCCGTATTTTTGAAGTATTAATATTTAGTGAGTGATATTGATGGTTTATTATGATAGTTTAGTGGTGAGATTTTTAGATAATAATCTAATTTTAAATTATTTATTTGTATTTATCTCATCTCTTTTATATCTATCATATTATTGTTTATTGTTATTTAATAATAAATTAAATTTTCTTGCCATTTCCCATCACATAGAAAGAAAAAAAAAAAGACAAAACCGTGGCCTACCCACAGTTTTCTCACCTATCACCCTAAACCAACCATTTGCTTTTCTTATAAATTGAACCCCTCTTCTCCTCCTTTCTACGAACACTCAATTTCATTTGTCTCTCATTTTTTTCCTTTTCCCCTACTTTCAACTCTCTCTCCATTTGTGATGTAAATTTTAAGTTTAGACATAGGAATATTTAAATTGAGAGTTAGTAATTTTACAAGAGATCAGAATTATTTTTGGAGATCCATGGAGCAATTTTAGATTTATGGTGATGGAATTAGTTATTTTGAGGTAAATTCGGGTTGTATACAATATGCTCTATTTAAATCTCTTTGCAAAGAGTTCTATATTTTTAATCATCCTCAATTTGTAATCCACTTGATTAATGTGGTTATTAATAGATTTCGTAAAATCGTTCGTTGTTGAATCGTTGATATTCTGATCGTTTGGTAAAATTCTCTACAAATATTTCTGTGTTAAATGGTGATTTGTCTGACTGAATGACATGGAAATACTCCGTACATGGATCGAGTGAATCTTATTAATTGTTTACACCAGTATGCCCGGATAAGCGTGGAGCTTGGGTGAGGTGGGTGAATAAATGAATCTATTCACTGGTCATGTACTGAGTATGACCGGGTATTTGGTCCAGATAAATTATAGTTGATTTGTTGTGCAATTTGATAAATTGCTTGATTATTGTATCGTCAATTTAATGTCATAAATTGTTGGATTCCTGTTAATTTATTCTGTATCCGAGCCTTGTATTCCTGTCATATTGTATACTTTCCAAATTAATTTATTTTTCAGGTGCGGAGCAGATTTTAGTGGAGCTCAAAATTGAGATTAAAAAGATTTATTAATATAAAGATTTGGGACCCACCACTGTAATTATTAAATTTGGAGATAGATGTAACATTGTTTATTTTGGAGATAATTGTGCTATAGAATATTTGGAGGATATTATATCATTTGGAGACAATTTTGTAGTTATTATTTTTGGGAGCAAAACTTGTAATTTTTTTTTTAGGCTATTTTAGTGTGTTTAACAACCCGGGAATGGGGCGTTACACAACCCTCTCAATCGGTGATTATTTAACAAAAATGTTAGAAATTTTAAAAGTTTTATTAAATATTTTATATAAGTACGAGATTTATATAAGATCTATATTGTATGAGTTGTATATTTATGTGAGATATTTGATAAATTTTTAGTAAAATATTTGAAATCTTTAGTATTACTTATATTTAGTAGGAAAAATGTTTGGGACCATAAACATTATTGATGTGTTTAAATTTTTTTTGAAATTATGTCTGACAGTAATATAAATGGTTCAAATCATTTTAAGAATTATGAGAGTTATATTTTATGAATCTCTATCATTACTGATTTAGCGGTCCGGCAGTAGTTTATTTGATATCTTATGATAATATGATTGATGAAAAAAAATAAAATATCAATTATTTAAGTTAGCTGATTGAACATAAGGATATGAATGGGCTCACTCACTCACTCGGTCAAGAAAATTCAATGCTCACTTGAGAAGGAAAAGACTAGGGAAAGTCGGCAATCGCACTAAAAGCCACAATAATATGATTGATGAAAAAAAATAAAATATTAATTATTTAAGTTAGCTGATTGAACATAAGGATACGAATGGGCTCACTCACTCATTCACTCGGTCATGAAAATTCAATGCTCACTTGAGAAGGAAAAGACTAGGGAAAGCCGGCAATCGCACTAAAAGCCACAATAATATGATTGATGAAAAAAAATAAAATATTAATTATTTAAGTTAGCTGATTGAACATAAGGATATGCATGGGCTCACTCACTCACTCACTCATATGCTCACCTGAGAAGGCAAAGGCTTGGGAAAGTCGGCAATCACACCAAAAGCCACAATAATCAGGGGTTAGATTAGAAGAGGTGACTACCATAACATAACGTGTCTTGATTGACTTGGTCGAATTGAATTCCACACTCCACAACAGAGTTCGAAATCAAAAATAAGAATTGCTCCATTGTCTCCACAACAGAGTTAAAAAGGGGTAAAATGCTTTGATTCTTATACTTTTTAGGAAGTTTGATTTGAATCCCTAATATATATATATATATAATACATGTTATGTTTGTGAACGTTGTGCTCAATATGTACATGTAATAATGTGTATCTGTATGAGGAACTAAACATTCTATTCTATGCTGTATTTGCAATGTTTGTTTGTTCCTCCTTTGTTTAATCTGATGTAGATTCAGAGCAGTGAATTCTTTTATGCATATTATTGCATGCAAAATATGATAAATCCATCTACATGGTATTTGATGAGAATAATCAAAAATCATAATTCATCTGTTTGAAATGCGTACGTTGTGTTTGGTTGGAGGATTTGAAGATGGATTTTGAAAGGGAAAGGGAAAAATTTTGTGAAATATGAATAAAATATACCTACATTTCACCTAGTTTCACACACCTTTTCCCTTTCCCTTTCCAAATCCCTCCCCAAATCCCTCAACCAAACACAGCATTAGTGATTGCTTTATGTTCCCTTTGCCTAACAATGTCTAGGTGTCTTGGAATCTGTTATTCACAGAAGTTAATCACTTCCAGATGTGCTAGTTGTACAATCCCTCCTTACCTATAATGTTTATTTGATCATAACAGGTGTAATCAGAAAATCATTATACAAGCCAAACACGATTAATAATGGATCAGATTAGCATTCAAAAAGGAAGAATTGTGACACTAGAAGAAGGTATGGTATATTTCTGGTTGCTATATTACTCTCTCTCTCTCTCTCTCTGTGATTTTATCTGTTGCTTCCATTCAAAGGAAGCAGCTAGAGCAAAGGCCATATAAATCTTATCCTAAGTGAGCATGTTGTGATATCTTTTGATCAAATAAAACATGTGTACAAAGATGTTAATAAGTGATGCACAAGGTAGAGATCCACTATTCGGCTCACACGCAGTATCTTTCCACCATGTGGAGGCTTAATTTATATTTATAATTTTATAAATTAAAGTGTTTAGTATTTAATATTTATTTTCTTATTGTTATTAATTTTTCTATTTTATTAAGGTTAACCTATATATAATAGGCTTTGGTATTATATTAGGCAGCCTTCAATTAATGAAATTGACAGTTGTTTAAGGTTGTGGCCTTTGTGTGATTAGGATTGCGGCCCTTGCATTCTTCTCTTCCTAATTCTCTCTGTTCTAATTCACGGAAAAGTTTAAGTGTCACAATCCCAACCTGTCCCAAACAGGATGGCGTTGTGACCGGCCAGTAGTCATAGACTATCAAGGGCCTAACTTTCAAAACAAGTTGGAGTCTTAGATAATTGGGGCAAATTTTTTATATTTTTGAGTACGGAAGCCATTATTTGTTTATATTGAGTCCATTCGAAACATCCACTCAGAGCAGTGCATAACTACATGAAATGAAAGCATTCATTCCTCTTGGATTGTTATCTTACATTATTACATGATCTAAACGACAAGGTAAAATAAACACATATGACAAGGCTTTACAAATCTAGCACAACCATACAAGACCAGTTTCTATTCAAACTTCTCTTCGTAATCCAACTCTTCATCACCTACATATATTTAAGAGAGAGGGGTGAGTCATTGCCCAATGAATAATATTACAGTTTAGTGGTAAACGAATGAATTCCAATCTCATTTGCAAAGCATAATATCATATCATATTTTCAAAAGCATTCGAACATTTCTCATCATAATATTTCATAATCAAAACATGATAGCATGGTACATCCATTAGGGCGAAGCGAAGGAATAACCGGTTTGATCACCGATTAAACAACCCACTCTCAGGTGGCGAAGGAGACCTCAATAATAGCCATGGTAAATTTAACTATCCCCCAATGGCTAGGACCTATGTTACATGGACTCGGGTACGAGTGTCGGGTGCGGGTGTGTATCCAAGCGTCAGACCTTCATAAATTTAAATCTTAGGATCTTGGGGTATGTATCCAAAATTGGATATGGATACGGGGACACGTCATATGCACATATATATTGTATATTATATAATATTCTCGGATGAGATGATTTAAATTATGTAGAAATATATTAGAAATTAAATATGATTTAGAAAAAAATATGAAATTTCTATATCTAATTCATGTGGGAGCCTAAAAATATTGCTTTACTAACAAATGCAAGTTTCTTTTTCTTCATGTATTGTCACAAATTAAAGGATCTGAGTGTCTAAATTGGGTACGAGCGTCGGGCACATATCCCACACCCTTATCCATGTCATATCCGGTGGACACGGGTATTGTGGGGGAAATAGAAGAGTCCATGTAACACAGGCTAGGACTATCTAAAGGATGCCACAACAAATTTATCAAAATATAGGATATTCATTCATTCGGGAACAAAATAAGGATTTCACAACATATGATATATCATCGAGTTTTCAAAACAATTTTCAAACATAACTTTACAATAATAGTACTCACAAATGGCTTGTGAACAATGAGGTTTTCCCCCCTCAGAGTGCTTGACCTACACAAAGCATAAGCAAGACGTTGAAAGCACTTAAACTAACAAGCTTCTAAATTCATTTCAGGTGTTCTAACTTAACTTTGTGTTTCTTAATATTTTCTTAGATTATCCAGACTTTTCTAAGCCTAATTCAAATCTAAATTAAGTGTCAGACATGTATCAAATGCATGGCTAGAAGCACCCTAGGTGATTAAGGCTTGAAGAAGGTTGAAGTGTGTCAAAGACGTAAGTTGAAGGGCCCTAAGTATTCCACATCAGTTTCATATACTATGCGTTGAAAAATATCATGTTTAGGTATTTAAGGTTTAAGGAAATAGGAAGAAATGAAAAGAACTAAGTTATGAGAGGAATTAGCATGAAATGGTCAGGAAGAAAGTAAGCAACCTTCACTAATTTAAACATATCTTTTTGTATGTTTGGAATTTGGATGTGAGACCACCACCATTGGAAACTAGACTTCCGGGACTTAAATTTAGAATTAAGAATCGCGTAAAACCGAGTCCGGATGAGAGATATACCCATTTGAAGTTGCGCTGAAACAGAGGTTCTGCACGTGCAGGACAAAGTGCGGGAAGGTTGGGGCACGTGCGGGAAATCTGGCCACACGTGTGGTTATTTCAGAATGCAAAATGGGTTCTGGAGGGTTGGGCCGCATGTGCGGGAAATCTAGGGCACGTGCAGGAAATTCTAGGTTGGACGGGCTGAAGCTGTTCTTCATGTTCTTGAGGTTTCTAACTCCAATTTCTTCACCTAAAAGCCTCAAAACATGATGTATAATGTTCCAAAACATGAAAGTATGATACAAGATTCATGAATACCCATTTGTATGCAAGGATTTCAAGATTAAACTAACAAAAAAATAAAATTTTATTCAAGAGCTCTTTAATTTTTTTTCTCTCTTCCACTTTCTTTCATTTCTTCATTTTCATTCCTTTAAAACAAGATTTTAAGGCTTCAAAACATGAATAAATGATGTGGGTTTTGTAGGAAAACATTCATATGCAATGAATTTAAAGTTTAAACCAATCAAAACGTGATTTTCTTGCAAATTTTTTGAACCCTTCCTATTTCTCAAACTCTTTCCTATCTTCCTCAATTTCAATCTCTCAAAACTTAGTTTAGATGATCTTCTAGCTAGATTATAGCAACAATACAAGAAAGAGGGTTGAATTTCTTACCTATTAATGATTTTCCTTGAATTTCTAGGCTTCAAATTGAAGCTCCTTTGATTTTTCTTCGATTTCCTCTCTTTTTCCGTGTTTTTTTCTTCTCCTTTCGTCTCCTTTGTTCTTCTTTCTTCTCCTTTTGTTTTGACCCTACAGATTTTCTTCTTCTTGTTTGGTTTTATTGAGTTAAGGCAAGACAAAAGTTAAATAATACAAAAAGGAAGGTGCTTGTTTGCTTCACCTATGTGTATGCTTCACCAAATCCTAATTTATTTGCTTAGTTTAGCTTAGCTTAATCAAGTTTACCTTAAGTATTTTACTAATTGTCCCATTGGCTTAATTAACCAAGCTTTAGTCCTAACCAATCATGCTTACTCTTTAATCCTTATTAGCCTAAATAAACTCTTAGAGCTCTCTCTCTCTCTTTCTATATTCTTCTCTTTTGTTTTGTAGGAAATGTTGAGGTGTGTGTATGCATCACAAAGGATTAATTAGCTTAGTCAATCAATCTTAGTTATAATTAATCAAGTTTAATCTCTAATTAATCAAGGCTTAACTTAATCTTGCTTAGCTTAATTACAATTACAGTTTACTAATTCTACTTAATTAGCACTAATCCCGATTAGTAAAAACAATATAGCATCAAAATGGCATGCACATTAGTCTAAGAGATCTTTAAGCTCCTTGATTAGTGAATAGGGAAACTCAAAATTTACTAAATTCAACCTAGAAGTCCTTCCCTAACTCTCAATACAAGACATAAGGATTTCCATGTTCGAAGCTCTATATTAACATATACTTTCAAACTCATTCTCAAGTATATTCGTTGGTTTGTCTTCTCAAGGCATGTTTCTCACTTTTAATTCTTAAGAAGTTTTAATTCAAGTAGGCATATAACATAAGGCGGGGCTTAGGGTATTCAAGGATGAATAATAATATAGTTATAGCACGTGACATTCGTTGGGGTGCCACATCGTTTTGAAAAATGATATACAAACTTACTTTTTAATTTTTTTTTAGATCCAATAATACTATCTTATATTGGACAAGTGAAATCATCACTAATCATGGAGACAAACTATATGCACCTTATAATTATAGAAGAATCATCACCACCTCTGCGTACATCAATCTCTGACAAACTCAGACGACCTCTGCGTTCATGAATGACTGAACCACTTTCCCCAAAACCTCCTAACAACAAATCTCTTCGCCTCTCCGGTAAACCAACAGACTTAGTCCGTGTCAGAATCGGAATGGCCTTCGTTGGAGGACAATGCCAGACACCAACATTATCATTAGTATATTTTTTAGATAACACAACAATAGAGGGGGCCCTCATTTGCGAATCTTCTGGCATGTCACTCGTAGAATACTTCAGATACCCCTTCATTTTACAATACGTAACCCCCCTTTTAATATTGAAATTTTCAAGTCGATACTTTACCATCCATGACAGCTGTTTGTCGTTAATTGAACAATAACCATTCCCATAATAGACTAACTCGCATTGATAATCTACTGGGAAAATAAACCATGCCTGCAAACTGTCATTACCGTCTAACCTCCGATCATAAACATTTACACTGACCAACCCACTAGCATTGGGTGCGCAAAGGGGGGAATATTTTATCACCCTAAACCAACCATTTGCTTTTCTTATATACCCCCCTTCTCCTCCTTTCTACGAACACTCAATTTCATTTGTCTCTCATTTTTTTCCTTTTCCTCTACTTTCAACTCTCTCTCCATTTGTGATGTAAATTTTAAGTTTAGACATAGGAATATTTAAATTGAGAGTTAGTAATTTTACAAGAGATCAGAATTATTTTTGGAGATCCATGGAGCAATTTCGGATTTATGGTGATGAAATTAATTATTTTGAGGTAAATTCGGGTTGTATACAATATGTTCTATTTAAATCTCTTTGCAAAGAGTTCTCTATTTTTAATTATCCTCAATTTGTAATCTACTTGATTATTGTGGTTATTAATAGATTTTGTAAAATCATCTCATAGTCGAATCGTTGATATTCTGATCATTTGGTAAAGTTT